GCAAAGTCTCAGTGGATTGAGAAAATGTCCCGCAAAATGGCGGTTTGCAGTTTATTTTATACATAGAATCAAAGGAGGAAGGTTACATGAAATCCACTGGTGGTAGATTAAGGGGGTGGGAGAAAGCAAAGCAGGGAAATCTCTGGGATTGGATAAAAGCAGATTGGAGAGACAGGAACTTCTTTCACATAGGTGGGTGCGGGGATCGTTAATAGTTCGCTTTTTACAGCACATAGAGATGGTAATCAGGGGACAAGAATAATAATGAGGGATTCTGTAGTTTCCTGCTCTGGTCCAGAAAAAGGGATTACTGACATTCCAAGGATGTCATCCTAGATGCAAAAAGACAATATATAGGCTTTCTTAAGGTAGAGATTGACCTAATCAAGGAAGCTACAGGCCAAGGATGTGACTTCCCACCATGACCCACCTTAGTTAGGAATTTTTATGCTCACACCATCCTCTGTGGTTATTTTCAGTCTCCTGAGCTTGTCAGGTTTCCCCTGTGGCCCCTTTTCCGTGCACATTTTCATAATCTTAACCATTACATTTTTACCCCCTGTCAATCTAACTGTCATCTGAATCAAGGCTTCACCAGCAGGCTTTGGTACCACACGCATGCAGGGGCCTGTAACTTGGTTAGCGGGCCTGACTGATGCCCAAGCAATTGTGGTCACGCTTCTCATTGTAACCTCTGCTTCCAGCTTCTTACATTTCTCCAAACTGGGATAAAGAGAACAGACTTATTTAGCACCCTTTAGTGTTGGGGGACCTGTGGGGTCCCTTTGGCCTGCCCACCCTTTGCTAGTGCTGCCTTTGTCTTAACCCTATAAATATCTGTCTTATTTGTCCCATTATTAATAATATCAAAAGATTTCCACCCTACTGGGACAAGTCCTGTGACTTGCACCATACCATACAGTTTCCTCTTTGTTTTGCCCCTATCAGTATGTGTTACCTCATTTCTCAATAACCTTTTATAAATTTCCAACTTGTTGGGAAGCTTCCTGTGACTCTCCCTTTGATTTTTCCCAATTCTCTTGTTAATTAACCTAATACCTTTAGTAGTATCTATAAGACCTATAAAGGGAAGCTGAGACAGCAAATTCAATAAGGCTTCCCAAATTGATTTTTGTTTGTAAGGCTAGTCATTATATTTCTTTGTATCCACTTTTAAAATTTGGTCTATTTATAGGTACCAATAAAACAGCTGTTTACAGAGAAGTCTCTAAAAATTTTCCAGTTTAGAAGTTTTTCTAATTCAAAGGGTCTATCATCAAGCCAGTGATGGTAAGATCTATTAATCGCAATAGTGACTCAAACCAATAAAGGCTTTTCTGGAAAGAGACAGGTAACTTGCCAAGCTAGAGTAAATCTTTACTGTGGATGCTAAAGGCGTCCCTGCAGTGGGTGCCGACAGTGCAGCCTTGTGAGCCAAAACTTCACTCCCCAAGAGAGACACAGCAAAGACCTTTGCTGCACAGGCAGTTAGGATGGTAGAGCGGATACCATGTTTCCGGTCTCCAATGAAAATGTGAGATGCCTCCAGCCACAAACCTGCAGGTGCTACTGGAATAGGATTTTTCCAGCACTCACAACTGACAAAGGTTGAGATTTCAGAGGCCCATTGTGGGCTGAGGTCCCTCATGACAAATTCCCTAAGAACTGGCACAGTCAGACAAAAAGATGCTTGGAACCCCAATGTGTTCAACTGGCCACAGATGCACCCCATAAGTGCACCCTCCCGATGTTGGAGACCAGAGAAAATACATTTGCTGGTCACAAAGCCAAGCTCTTGGGACACAAGAGATATAGACAAAGAAAACAATGACCATCTCTGAGAGGAAAGATCAGCAGAAAAAGAAAGACCCAAGAGTTTCTAGGCCCAAGAAGCTAGCTTCATAAATACGTATTTTCTTCTGCCAATCAAAATTTAGAAGAGAGAAAAAGGACTCTCACCACTTCTAACTTCGGGAGGTTGTCAGGTAAGAACACTTACCTCCTGCCAGCTGTGTGTCAGACTTTCATGATCTCTCAGTCGCAGTGGCCTCTGGGAGCTAGCAGTATCCCAGCCAGTGAACTCTCTCTGGCTTGCCAGAACTGTGGGGCAGAAAAATAATTTTCCTCCCACCTTTCTAGCTTCTGACTGGACTAAGAAAATTAACATGAGGCAGATTAACAGGAGAAAATGACCTAATGAATTATGTATGTACATAC